AATTTCTGAAGTTCTGTGCTCATCCAGCTCTACACCTTGTTATCTCAGATTCTCCAGCATCTGCAGTTCCTATTATCTCCCACTAATAGCTATTCATTTCCCAGGCTGATTGCTATCTGCTTCTTTGTTTGTCCAACTGTTTGACTCTCTCCTTGGGCTCTATCTCCACCTATCATTTACTCCTTACCCCCCCAATCTTCTGCATATAAACCAACATATTCCTTGTACCATCAGTTCTGAGGAAGGGTCATTGGACCCAAAACATTAACTCTGATTTCTCTCCACAGATGCTGCCAGACTTGCTGAGCTTTTCCAGTAATTTCTGTTTTAGTTTTCCTTTATTTAATTGGCCATTATTCTTTTGTGCCCTCATTTTTGCTCTCCTTACTTCCTTGAAAATCACCTTGCATCTGTACACCTCAAGGGTGTCGAGTATTTTGATTTATTCTGGTAAAGTTCTCCCAATATTCCTATACGTGGAATTCTTAATTAGGGCAAGGAGTTGAAAGAGAGGTATACCTGATACTCCCTCAGAAAAGAATCAACATCTTCATTAGTGGAAGGCAGGAAATTGGGGCAATAAGGTGGGGCAAAGAGGAGGAAATTCGAAGGCTGTGGTGCGTTATGTAAATGTGTGTGTAATCCTTGTCTTTATTTCTCTTTGTTAACCCTCTCTGTGTGTTTCTATCCTGCAGGAAGTGCCGGAAGCTGGTCATGAATGAAAGTCCTGGCCATCTACTTCGCACAAAGAGCACAGAGTTTGCAGATGGAGGAGTATCTGCTGGCGTGGCAGTTCTGGATACACCCTATCTTATCTGAATTACAGATGGTGTCAGAACAGAATAACATCATTATTGGGGTAGAGTGCTGACAATTCTAAAATACATTCCACCCACCCCACTACACCACCCCTCCCGCCAACCCCTCTGCCTCCACCTCCCACCAAATCCTGCACCCCAGTTAATGAATGGACTTTCCACAATCCACCCAGGGTGTCTTTTCCTCAAAACTGTGGGGTGGTGGGGAGTTGTGAGCAATAAAGCTGAATGCATATTTGCAAGTAAGTGATTTATCCATCATTCTTCCTTCTGATCTTCCTTACCTAATTTCTCAGGGAGAAACGGCGAGCTGTGTGCCAATGCTCTGTTCCTCAGACTGCATTCTACTCAATCTTAGCCATTTCTCATCGAGTCATACAGCACAGAAGCGCAGACCCTTCGGTCCAGCCAGTTCATGCTGAATGTAATCCCAAACTAAACTAGTCCCACCTGCCTGCTCCTGGCCCACATCTCTCCAAACCATTCCTATTCATGAACTTATCCAAGTGTATTTTAAATGTTGCAATTGTGCCCATATCCACTACTTCCTCTGGAAGTTCATTTCACATGCAAGCTATCCTCTGTGCAAAAAAAAAATTGTCCCTCGTGTTTTTTAAATACATCTCCTCTCACCATAAAAACATGCCTCCTAGTCCTGAAATCCCCACCCTAGGGAAAAGACCTACCATTAACCCTATCTATACCCCTCATAATTTTATAAACCTCTGGAAGGTCAACCCCCTGACTCCACACTGAACGAGATCCCACCATGCGATTTGTTGATATACTGAGTACATAACAATGTCACTGACATCGCTCTGTTTCTCTGTTTTCTGTTTTCTGTTGCATGACCTATCAGCAGACTTAATTTATTTTTCAGTAAATCCCTAATCCTCCCAGCTGGTCATTTTCATAATTCTGTCCCATTACAATTATTCCTTTCTTTAGATTTACTCTCAGGCAATGGAGTTATCTAGTGCTGCCAGTGCTTAAGAATTGACCTTTTAAAATATGGTGCTTTAAACTGAAACGAATTTCAATGTGTGGAAGGAGCAATGTTGGTCGAGGGAGGAACATAATGGAAGAAGTGAGATGGTCATTTTTAGACTAAAGAACAGCTGAGGTGTCAGTTATATGACTTATGGTAATCACATAATATAGTTCCACTTTGTTCCTCTCAATGTTTGACTGCTATCTCGTTGATTAAATTTGTAAAGATGTGTTAATTATTCAGCTATACAAAACTGGATTGAGAGGTAGTCGGTTTTAGCTGGTCATATGCGGTTATACCTCTGACTGCTGTTCTTCAACTCTGGTTCCTGTTCATCAACATAATTCAAACAACAATGCTGAACTAGCCACAGTATTAAACAAGTATGAGGCAACGTGCAACCTTTTAAATCATTAATGGAATTTTTAAATGCATTACTTTCTCCAGGAAGTCACAAACAGGTTTGAGTTTGATTCTGTGGGCAGCAGTAAGCCTCTTGCTTAACCCTCACCAACCTATTTTACAAAGTAGGAGATTGCACTAAAACTAATCTCGCTCTCTGCTTCGCCTCATTCCTGCCCCCCAACCCCTTAAAAAACTTTGCAGCAAAGTTTAATCTTGCGCTTTTAGTATAACCAATTCACAGCAGCATTGGAGCATACTGGGATCAAGGGAAAGAATGGCCTACTTCTATTTTTTTTCATGTAGAAGAGCCTCGTTCAGCCCAGTTTGCCCTTCCAGCTTTAATTGCTTTTGAAACTTTGTACTTCCACCACCTTTTCAAGCAGCATGTTCCAGTAACCGCTCACTCTGCTCATCTGCCTCTGCCTGTTCCTTTAACTATGCCTCTTGGGTTATTGAGTATCTTCTAGTGAAAGAAGTTTCTTACTTTTACTTTTTGTCTCTGTCACGCGCTCGCACTCTCTTTCCCCTAACTAGTGATTTGTGAAGCTTTACCATGACAAATGTTGTTTTTGCATTCTGTCTCTATTTATAAAGCCATGGATTCTGTGTGTTTTATATAATAACCTTCTCAACTGATCCTGTCATGTTAAAGTATTTGTAAGTTAACATTCTCCACCCCTACCCCTAAAGTCCCTCTTTACCTGCAGCCTTTTAAAATTGTTAGTGGAATTTTTAAATGCAATATTTTCATCAGGAAGTTATGAACAGTTTTGAGTTTGATTCAGTGTGCAGCAATAAGCTTCTATTGCTCAACTCTAGCCAACAGATTGTAAAAATAAAAAGTAGGAGATTGCCCTAAAATGAATCACACTGTCTCTCTGCTTCACCTCATTCCTGCCCCACCACCCCTTTTTTTTTTTTTTAGAAAGTAGCCCTCCAGTATATAAACGTCATGTGACATAGCTAATGGAAATCTGCACTGTTTGAATTTCGGTGTATAAACAAAAAAAGTTGTTTAGTCATATAAAACATGTGTTGCTTAAAGACATTTTGTCAAGCATTTTGTCTTGCACTTACCAGGACAATTCACAAGAATGCCATTTAAAGGGGAAACAAAATCTGCATGAGAAAGTGACAAGTGGACCATGGTAGAGGTGTTGCCATGGAGATTGCACCTCTCAATAGTGGTTGACAGTTAACTGCCAAACTTTTTGTTTAAAATTTAAACCATTCAGAATGGCTCTGCTCAGGGCTTCACCCTGGGGAATGAACTAGGGAATGAACTGGCTGTCACCTATTTCATTTGAGTTGAAATGGGCTCTGTGTGCACTTGTTCTTTCAGTTTGCATGTGTATTAACACAGGTCGGGAATCCATTTCCAGAAACCGGGGGACCAACTTGTTTTCAGGTAAACAATATTTTTGGTTTTTGCTTGCACTTAACTGTTAGATCCATTTGAGTTGGTTTTTAGGTTCATTCAGTTTTCAAACATGTGGATAAAGGATACCTGACCTGTATTTGTAGCTTCCAGTCAGTAGTTAACTGTCTGCCATAAATAATTGGCACATTCTCAATGGCAAGTCTGCCAGAGTCCACTTACTCACCAGTCAACACCCGCCTCTAGTGTAGTATAAATGTTGGCTTTCCCTTTGAATTGGTACTCTTGCAAATGGTCCTTATGAGTACAAGACTAAAATGTTTCAACAAAATGTGCCCTGTCTTTGGCAATAACTAAATAATTTTTCTGTCAAACTCTGTTTACCATTTGAAGTGTCTCTGACAAGATGCCTTCCCCTGAGCAGTTAATGGAGCTCAAACTGGAAACCTGCAGGGATTGAGGCAGAGTCAGTGGGGTAGGCTGCATTGTTTCAGATTATTACACCAAAAACATGTTAGATATTTTATATGAAAAATTGTTCTAGATCTTATTAATAAATACACAGTTGATTTACAACCCTTGCTGTTGTTTTCTGCTTTGCATAGCCATCAATCTGACCACTGAGGAACAAAGTCAGAAGTCACATGAGTCCAGGTTATAGTCCAACCGGCTTATTTGAATACGCAAGCTTTGTCAGGGTACCTGACAAAGGAGCAGCGCTCTGAAAGCTTGCACTTTCAAATAAAGCTGTTGGACTATAACCTGGAGTCGTGTGACTTCTGACTTTGTCCACCCCAGTCCAGCACCGGCACTTCCACATCATTGCTGAGGAACAGACATGGACTTGCGTGATTTTGTTTTTAAATTCTTGCTGTCTCTGGGTCACAAAATTACAGGAAAACCAAGAGCAGTGAAATGCAACACAAAACCATTTCTTGAACGTTCCACCTGGGTGAAGTGCTTGACAAATTGTGTTGATCTAGATGAGTGGACGCTGCCTCATTCCAGTTTTTATATTCACAATAAACAAAACAGATGTTACACCAACAGTTTGGGAAGTAGCATTCAGTCCAAGTTCTATCACTGTAGGTCATTAATCAGAGTTCAAAGCGCATTCCTCTAATCCCAGCGTTTGAAATGAAGGACAGTGAACCTTCTGCAGGAATGGGCTCAGATTTTGCAGATTATTAAAAGTAAATGATTACCCTTGTTGCCTGCTGGCGACCACATTAACAACAGCCTGGGGTTTGTAGATCACCATTGGACAGAAACGGTGTGTTTGAATACCATTTGCTGCTGGAGCATGTCAAAATCTGGATGTTTTGTGAAGTGGGGCTCACCACGTGACTTCCCAAAGCCCTTCTGCAGAGAGGTAATCCCCTAGAGGGCAAACTCATCTGCTTGTTGGCATTTATGAGGAAACATCCCTTAAAATAGGGATTGCATTGCCTGTAATCATACAGTAATGGAATAGTTACAGCACAGAAGGAGGCCATTCAACCTATTGTATCTGTATTGGTGGATCAATTCACCTGGTGTCACTAAACTGCCTTTTCCTTTAAAACCCAGCAATTTCTTTTTTTCATTTTCAAATGATGATTCCATTCTATTTGAATGTCAAGGTTGACTCTGCATCCACCAAAAAAAGTTTCCCTAATTTTGCTATTGCTTCTTTTGCTAATTACATTAAACTAGTATCCTTCAGATTCCTCCACTGGGATCAGTTTCTCCTCTTCCTGGTCTCTTTGTGACTCTGAATATCTATAAAGTCTCCACTCAACCTTCCCAGCTTCTCCAATCTAATTTGTATAGCTGAAGTTAGTCATCCTTGGAGCCATTCTCTCAAATCTTTTCTCATCCTGCTGTCATGCCTTCACATCTTTCCTGAAGAACACGAAAGGGGTGGCAGAGCAGCTCAGTGTTTAGCACTGCTGCCTCACGGTACCAAGGTCCTGGGTTTGATTCCAGCCTTGGGTGACTGTCCAAACTCAGATATTGTCCCCATGTCTGGGAGACAGTAAGGACTGTAGATGCTGGCAGCTAGAGTCAATAAATGTGGAGCTGCTCCTCGGATGCTGTCTGACCTGTTGTGCTTTTCTAGCTCCACATTTATTGATTCTCCCCGTGTCTACGTGAGTTTCTGCTGTGTGTGCTGCAGTTTCCTCCCACAGTCAAAGGATGTGCAGGCTAGATGGATTAGTCATGGGAAATGCAGGGTTACAGACATAGGGTAAGGGGGTGGTTCTGGGGGGATGCTCTTCGGAAGGTCACTGTGGGCTCGATGGGCTGAATGGCCTGCTTCTACAGTGCAGGGATTTGATGATTCTATTCTAACAGTGTGCAGTGCTGGATCTAATACTCCAGCTGAGACCAGACCAGTGTTTGATACAGGTTTGTTATCGCATTTTTTATTTTTGATCTTAATGGCCCCTTCTACGTAGACCAGGATCGAGTGTCCTCTATTAACCGTGCTCTCCACTCACCGTAACCCTTCAATGATTAGTATTCACGCACTCTTCAATCCTTTGGTTTCACCATCCCCTTTAGAATTGGGCACTTTGTTTCATATTTCTCATTTTCACGAAAAGGCCAGCATTTATTGCCCATCCTAAATTGCCCCTGAACTAAGTGTCTTGCTGGGCCATTTTGCCAGTTGAGAGGCCTACATTTTGCTGTAGGTGTGGAGCCACTTGTAGGCCAGACCCAAGTAAAGATGACGGATTTCCTTGCCTAAAGGACCACAGTGAACCAGACTGGTTTTTACAACAATTTATGATTCTTACAGAGACTCTCTTTATATTCAATATTGTTAATTTAGTTGAATGTAAATTTCACCAGCTTCCCAGGTGGGATTTGAACCCGTCCACCGGTCATTAGCCTGTGTTTCTGGATTACTGGTCCGGTGTCGATACCAAAGTGAATACATCATACCTCCCTGCATTTGGTTATATCTGCTGCTTGCCTGTGCGTTCCAGGTTTGGTGATTCGTTTGAGGTTTTTAAGCATTTCAAAGGAATTGTTACGCTAGACGGGCCACAGAGACCTTTTTACTTTCCTGTTCTGTAGACCTTTATGACTCTAAGGGAGTTAGACATGTGGATCAATGATTTTTGTGGCACAGTGGTGGTATCCCTGCCTCTGAGCCAGAGGGCCCAGGTTCAAGTCCTACCTGCTACAGAGGTGTGTCGTAGCATCTCTGAACAGGTTGATTAGAAAATATCTGGAAGTATAGAACACTCGCACAAGATACAATTGATGGAATCTTAAAATTAAGTTTAAAAGCAGTAGAAGTGGACACAAAGATGCAAGACAGGTGGCTGGAATTGAGATACTGGTTTGAACTGATCACAGACTCTGGACTAAGTGGCCTACTGTTGTTCCACTTCACTAACCCAAATCTTCAATCTTAGCAGTGCCTGAAATGTCTGCCATCTGTACAACTTGCAGGCTTCAATGCAGCAAGTTGCCGAGGTTGCTTCAGCATACCTGAAGTTCTTAACTCCACCACCGAACTCCGAGGCAACCAATTCATTAGAACATTACCATGCAAATATGGTGGGACTGCAGCAGTTCAGAAGAAAGCTTGTCATCACCACAAAGACAGTTCTGGGTGTATCATAAATGCCAGCCTTGACACTGGCTCACACTGAAGGTTACATTGTTAAAAACTTTTTTTTTTTACAAAATTCTTTTCAAGGCAGTTTCCTTCTATTTAATTGTCCCTAAATCATATCAAAGAGGCAAATCTTAAAGTCTTTCCTATGCTTCAGTGAATCAGGACACCATTGTCTGATGCTGCAAACAAGAAAAAGTGAAGTTCTATAGCTGGTTTATACTTGCACAGGGAACCTCAGCTGAGGCATTTCTTGAGAATTTAACCTTAGGGTCTTGCTGTTCAATGACATTACCATCACTGAATTCCCCCGCTATCAACATTCTGGGGTATACCATTGACCAGAAATTGAACCAGACTAATCATCAAAATACTGTGGCTACAAGAAGAGTTAAAGACTAGGAATCCTGTTACAAGTAATTCACCTCCTGGCTCCCCAAACCTGTCCACCATCTACAAAGCACTGTGATGGAATACTCCCCATCTGTCTGGATTGATGCAGCTCCAGCTGCATTTGAGAGGCTTGACACCATCCAGTACAAAGCAGCCCATTTGATTGGCATCACTTTCCCTCTTCCATCATTCCATAGCAGCAGCTGTGTGTATCATCAATGCAATGCAAAAAAATTCACCAAGGTTCTTTTGCATTTTCCAAAGCCAGAACCATTGCCAACTACAAGAAGTGCGGCATGATACATGGGAGCACAGCAATTTACAAAGTCCTCTCCAAGGCATTCAGCATCCAGACTTGGAAATATATCGCTATTCCTTCAGTGTCGCTGAGTCAAAATCCCAGAGCTCATTCTCTGACAGCACTGTGTGGGTTTACCCACGCTGAATGGACTGCAGGATTTGAGAAGAAAGCTCACCACCACAACCTTAAGGGCAGAAACATTGAAAATAGAAGCCTGTTAGATCAGAAAATACTGACCTGTTCCTGCCCTGACGGAGGGTCCCGAACCATAGCTTCAACTTTCCTGCCCCTCTGATGCTGCCTGACCTCCTGTGTTCCTCCAGCTCTACCTAAGTACAGTGAAAAGCTTTGCTTACAAGCAGTACAGGCAGATCATAAGGTGAAAAAAAAACTTGGACAGAGGCATCCAGGTTACGTCGCACAGGGCACGTGCTAGGCAGGATCAACATTTGCAAGATCAGTATTATTTGAAGTTAGAGAATCCATTCATCGGTCTAATAATGGCAGCAAAGAGGCTGTTCCTGAACCTGCTGGTGTGTGTATACAAGCTTCTGCAATAATTTGATTATTTTTGTTTATTTAGAATGTGCAACTTGCTTCCACATGAAATAGCTAAGATGAACAGCTTAGATTCCGTCAATGAATGGCTAGATAAAGAGATGAGGAAGAAAAAAAATAAAGGGACATCTTGAAGGATTTGCAGACAGATGGAGGGCATGTCAGGTGTTTGTTATCACTATGTGATCCTTGGAAAGGGGGTGTCCTGGATAAGGAGCTATAGAGACTGCTGTTGTAAGATTATGCATTGATTTAATATTTTAGGAAGCATTTACACTATTAAATTCAGCACAAGAACGTACATTAAATTATTTCTCACTAAAATCCATTGTTATGTGATCTCTTACATCATTATTGACATGCTATTTGTATATTTGTGTATTAACCCTTTACTTGTCATCTTCCCACAAGTCTCTGACGCTATACATTATTAATAATATCTTAAATGATGCGAATTTGCCTCAGGCAGGGTGTTTTACCTGTTGGTAGTGGTGCTAATGTTATTTCCCATAACAATAAGTAATTAAATGTGGATAATGTGGAATTGAAGAATCCAAAAAGTATTGAGAACAGCTAACTGTTACAAACATACGTTACAGTCTGCAGACACGTTACATTACACAGAGCAGCATGGTTTCCAATAGTTGTCATCAAGTTTCAAGTGATCCTGGGTTAAGGTGAAGTATGAGGCTTTTAGACCCTCGGGTCAAG